GTCATGAACACATTTTCATTATTTAGCTCACTTTTCTTAGTTTTTTTATTTTACTAAATGTTGAATTTAAATGTTAAAAATAATGTTAATATTAAATCCTTAATCTAAATGTAAAAGTTAAACCTTAAATGTTGCAGCTAAATGTTAAAGTTTACGCATTTCAGAATGGAACGCAGCTTTTGTTGTTGGGGTTATGACATCATCATCTTGAGACGACAAGCAACCGTTAATGCTGCTAACGCTAGCTCTTCTCTACAAGACGTCAAGCTTGCAGTTGCGGCTGGTGTCTGAGCTGCTCTTCAAGCTGCCGGACCTCACGTACATCTCTGTTGATTTTAACGAACACATTTTAAATATAAATATTGGTCGACCAGATTGTGTCATTTAACAGCTGTTTATGCAGCTGACRCTGGTGGTTTACGGCCCACATAGGGTGTGGCCAACGTGATCCACAACTCATAAATTTAAAAACAGCCTAAATACCATCTTCAGCAGTGTTATTATTGGTTGCTATTGTCTCAGGATGATGACATCAGAATAAGAGCTGAGCATCAACAACAAAGTTTGTGTTCCATTCTGAAATAAATGCAAACTTCAACATTTAAGATTTAACGTTTACATTTAGGATTTAATATTTACATGTATCATTTAACATTTAGTAAAAAAAATAGAAAAATAAAAGAACAATAAGATAAACAATGATAAAATATTAGTAGAGATTTTTAACACTCAGAAAGTGAGCTAAATATTGAAAAGTGGCATTTATCAACATTTTATTTTCCACTTGGCTCCTCACAATGAAGAACTAAAGTCATTGTAATAAAACTTACAGGAAGTAAATGGATGCATTGTAAAACTGATTAACTGTGGATTACAGCTGCACTTAGAAAACACAAAAATGGTTTAATCGTATTTATTTTACTGATATTGTGCTAAAGTTTGGTATATGAGGCAAAAACAATTCATGATCTGGGCGCAACTCATCATGACCTTCACACAGAACTTTACAATTAACTATTTGGAGTCGACCTTGTTTGTTAGCAAAATATTTCAGAAACCACTGAGGAGTTTTAATGAAACTTTTAGGAAATAATCATTAAATAAACTTCTAAAATTTTACTTCGGAGTATTAGGGCC